AAACACCCGCACCAGGAAGATCCAACTGCAGTGAATGTTTGATGAATGTCACATTTACGGCTTTCCCGTTTGTGATAAAAGATAACCTGGACCCGACAAGTATCTCTTTACTGTAACATCTGATTGTTGGGTTCCTTCCTTTTTTTCTTTTCACTTCCTCTCTCCTTTGTCCTTCGTCCTCTGCTCTCTCCCTCCCCGCTCACATGAGACTATTGTCCTGGCAGTTCATACAAAGCCTGGCCCCATGGCCCCCCGAGCCCGCTCCCTCCTTTGTCTGACCAGGGAACCCCGCTCCATCCTCTGAATAGGCCGGATTCTCAATGAGCGCAGGTTGCTGGGATAGGACGGAGCTGTGTATGTAAATGCGGCTTCAATCACAGCTGGTGGAAACCTCGCATAGACAGACTGGCAGACTTCCCCTCCTTCCCAGCGATGGCCGCCGCCATGGAAGCCACGGTTCCTTTAAAGGGTTAAAAAGATAATATGTACTAAGATACTAAGTCTACATAAACCAAATTAGTTGTAACATTATTATTATACAGGATTTATATAGTGCCAACAGTTTGCGCAGCGCTTTACAATATAGGGAAAACATTACAATCACAATACAATACAAGACAAGATGGTAAGGAGGGCCCTGCCCCTGGGAGCTTACAATCTAAAAGATGTTCATGTCATTGTTACAAGTCTTTTTTAAATCTGTAGATTGCATTAAAATAATCCCCGGTGATCCTGTTATAGGGTGACAACGCTCTGCCCTGTCTCCCAATTGTGCTCCTGCGTTGTCACCCCGTCACACAGATTACAAGTGGCTGTTTCAACACACATTACGGGGACATGGTCCACTGTTGTCACCATCAGGGAAGGTACCCCGCTCTAAGAAATGCCATGCAGCCATCGCCGGAGTGCACGTGGAGAAGAAGTGGCTGCAGGAAATCAGCAGCGCTGAGATGGAACAAAGATTAAAAAAGGTGAAGATGGCATTTTATGGAAAAGGAACGGCAATTTTTTATAAGGGAGCGGGCTTGCATCATGGCCCAAATAGGGCCCGCGTCTCGGCGTGTGTTGTGCGTGAATAGGGGACACGGAAAACAATTGTATACTATGTGCCCGTGCGGTAAATGGCATCCTCAGGTGCAGAAAACTGCCAGCTACCACAAGAGTGGATTTTACTCTAATATGACCCTATTCCTTTGTGTCTTCAGGACAGGAAGTGAAGGAAAATCTTTCCACAGGGGGACACAAAAAAACAACAACAAATAAAATAAATAAATAAAATAAATAATAATACAAAAAAACCCATAAATAAATACTGTATATATATATATACACACACACACACACACACACACACAAAACACACACACACTGTATATATACAATTTCCTACAGTTTCAGGGCTGTGGTTAGACTTTCAGGGCAGCTTTTTCCTGAACACACAGCAGTGACTTCCTGTCCCGGCGCCTCTTTACTTTCATCCTGACAGCAGTACTGTGACAATTCTGTATCTTATTGCTTCTTAATACCATCACATGACCTGTAAGGAAGAAAATAACCAAAAGCACAAAGTTCACAAACTTTGCCGCTCCTGCGATCTGACACTCATGGTGCGCTGCCAAAGGACTGGTGGGTAAGTGTCCTCCCTGCAAATGGTCCCTTTCTGCCCTGTACAAAGCAAGACCACGTTTGTTGTACTTGAGAAACAATGTTGAAACAATGTACATGATCCAAAGTCATATACTGTATATACATTATAATCTAATATATATAATAATGTAATGTAGAGTCATGCTGCCCCTTCTGAGCAATCAGCAGTGGAAAATCAGCCATATTGGCCCATTTTTTGCCCCGTAGTAGACAGTTGCATGTTGGGAGCTCTCTGCCTGGACGTTGGAGGTGCAAATAACTATCACAAATCATCTACATGAAATGTAACATTTTTAGCTGTTACATTATAACAATGACATTGTGACTTTATGAGATGATTGAACTGCTGCAGGTGGAAAGACTCTTCCCCCGTCCCTCCTCCGGAGAACACATTTAGGTTACAATGGGGAAAACATTGCCTCTGGAGTCATAAACTGGCAGACGATTTTGCTTTTAGCATGATGTTTGCAAAGTGCACGAGCTCTGCAGGTCAGCAAAACAAAATCCTCCACCGTCAGATAGTGGTTTTGTTTGTTTTTTTGGGGGTGAAGTCAGATAGATTTGTATACTAAACATCATAATCAAAACCTAAAATATTACATCGCATCTAAACCCAAAAATACAACAGCGCCATATATTTCAGATCCAGCGTCCTTAGATGTGGCGGCTGCGTTCGCTTTCTTCTTCCTTTTCTTTTTCACCCGGTGATCCTGCCAGTGTCACACTTCCTGTCCTAGGGTGACCACGATCGCTGAACTTTATTTATGGGGGGAGCCGTGTTGTCACCCTAGGATGGGAGGTGTTGTAGGATTACAGACCCCCCCCCCCCCCCCCCACACACACACACACTCTGGTCATCTCCTTAATCTAGAGTCATCACACCAGTCATGTTGAGTGTTGTCACTCAGGTGTCACTGAGGGCTCAATCATGTCAGATTTTATCTTGGATCTGCCATTTTATCAATTTCAATCAAAGCGATGACATAAACCCCTCTCTGCTTTAAGGAAGTGCTTCCATACCGAAGACTGATTTGACGGCGGGCCCTCGGCATCCTCACAGCCCTCTCGCCACAACCCGGCGTCCTACCCCCATTATCTCTTATTGTAATTAATAT